GCTAGCTCTGCACACACAATGGGAGGGCGGCCGCGGCCAGGGCCCCGCAAGCCTCTCCCCACTCCAGAGGGAGGCCGACGGTTGGCTTCTGACTGGCCTGACTGGCCTAGGGCAAAGGCGGCCTGCTGGGACCCGGCAGGGCAAAACGGGCCTAGTGGCTTTCAGGGAATGGGGTGGGGGACGGTCTGCCAGTGGATGCTGAGAGCTGATGGGGATGAAGCGCAGATTGGCATGGCTGGCACCGCCCCCCTTTCAATATCAGACCGCTTTCCCAGCGGGACTCCCCAACCCTCTCCTGCTAAGGCTACCTAAACTTCCCTGTCCCAGTGATCCTGGAACCCAGCTTTAATTCCCTTCTCCCCAGTATAGGGCCCCAGCTCCCCTGAACCAAACAGAAAGGCCCCTACCCATCCACCCCCCATATGGAAGGCTAAGGCTGAGATGGGGAGGTTGCCCAAAGGTAGATCTCAACAGAGACAGCAAAAAGATCTTAGGGACCCAAGAGTTCTGCCCTAATCAGTCACGAGGATCCCAGGCTCTTCCAAGAGGCCAGGAATGGCGCTGAGAGAAGTCCCCATTCCTTGGAAGAGAAAGGAAAGAGGAAGAAGAAATGAGGAGCTGAAAGAGAATGGTAAAATCAGATCTCATGACGTTTGACCTAGAATAGTTCTACCTTAGTCCTTGATTTGGGGTCAAATACCCAAGGCCTCCATCCACCCACCAGAGCTGGTGGAGAAGAGTACAGGATTCTGGCAAGAGATGTTGGTGCCTATTTGACCCAGACTTTTTCTGCTTGTATGGCCCTCCACAGATCACTACACCTCTCTGATCCCCAGTTTCCTCTCCCATAAAATGAGTTTGCTGGTACTGTGTTGTCACTGGGACTTATTGGGAGGATGAAGAGGAGTTAAACAATGGATTACTGGTATATTTGGAGAATCTGTAAGTTGAAGTGGTCAGTCACATCTAGAAGACCTATTCCTTTTCTATTCCATCTCTTCTGCTCCACAGAAAGTGAAGGTGAGAAACAGGATGGAGAAGACTTGCCTAGGGCAAGTGACCCTAAAATAGGGCCAGCTTGCTGTGTTTTGCTGGAGGGGAAACTATGAGATTTCCCCCTCATCCTGGACTCTGATAATCGAATGGCAGCCCAGCTCATTCCTCTGATTACATCACCTTAAGGAAGGGGAAACAGTGAGGATGAAGCCCATTAGAAATGTTCCATAGGTTGGCACCTGTGGCTCAAGGGACTAAGGTGCCAGGCACAACACCTGAGCTGGCAGGTTCAAATTCAGCCTGGGGTGCCAAACAACAGTGACAGCTGCAACCAAAAAATAGCCAGGCATTGTGGCAGGCGCCTGTAGTCCCAGCTACTTGGGAGGCAGAGGCAGGAGAATCACTTGAGCCCCGGCTTTGGAGGTTGCTGTGAGCTGTGATGCCATCGCACTCTACCCAGGGTGACAGCTTGAGGCTCTGTCTCAAAAAAAAAAAAGAAGAAATGCTCCATAGGCCCATAAGCCAGGTGCGGTGGCTCATGCCTGTAATCCTAGCACTCTGGAAGGCTAAGGTGGGAGGACACCTTGAGTTCAGGAGTTCAAGACCAGCCTGAGCCAGAACAAAATCCCCATCTCTACTAAAAATAGAAAAACAACAAAACTAGCTGCATGTGGTAGTAAACACCTGTAGTCCCAGCTACACAGAGACAGAGGCAAGAAGATGGCTTGAGCCCAAGAGACAGGTTGTTGTGAGCTATGATCCTATGGCACTCTGTCCCATAGCTCAGTAGTTAGGGTGTCAGCCACATTTGCCAGGGCTGGTGGGTTCAAACCCAGCCTGGGCCTGCTAAACAACAATGACAATTACAACAACAACCAGCAAAATGGCCAGGCGCCTGTAGTCCCAGCTACTTAGGAGGCTGAGGCCAGAGAATCACTTAAGCCCAAGATTTTGAGGTTGCTATGAGCTGTGATGCCACAGCACTCTACTGAGGGCGACATAATGAGACTCTGTCTCCAAAAAAAAAAAAGAAAATAGGCTGGGCATGGTGGCTCACGCCTGTAATCCTAGCAAGCTGGGAGGCCGATGTGGGTGGATTTTGAACTCAGGAATTTGAGACCAGCCTGAGCAACAGTGAGACCCTATTTCTTTTTCTTTTTCTTTTTTTTTTTTTTTTTATAGCTTTGGCCTGGGTCTGGTTTGAACCCGCCACCTCAGGTATATAGGGCCAGCACCCTAGCCACAGGTACCGCCTCCCATTTCTAAAAAAAAAAAAAAAAAATAGCCAGGTGTTGTGACAGGCGCCTATAGTCCCAACTACTTGGGAGGCTGAGGCAAGAGGATCACTTGAGCCCAATAGTTTCAGGTTGTTGTGAGCTATGACACTATGGCACTCTACCTAGGATGACAAAAGTGAGACTTTCTCAAAAAAAAAATCGGCAGCGCCCATAGCTCAGTCCGTAGGGCACCACCACATACACCTAGGGTGACGGGTTCGAACCAGGCCTGGGCCTGCTAAGCAACAATGACAACTGCAACCAAAAAATAGCCAGGCATTGTGGCGGGCTGACGCAAGAGAATCGCTTAAGCCCAAGAGTTTGAGGTTGCTGTGAGCTGTGATGCCACAGCACTCAACCCAGGGCGACAGCTTGAGACTCTGTCTCCA